TTCCCTTTCCTACTAACCAAACACCTAAAAACCTTCTTCAGCTATCTGAATGGCCAGTGTCTTGAGAAACAGTGGTGCCTCCCTGGTCTAGCATAATTAGAGCTAGAAATAACAATTATATATTTCACACTTTAATAGCACCTTTCATGTGAGAATCTCATGTGAGAAACTTAGTGCACATTAGTTTAGCCTCACAACACCCTTGTGAAGAATTATTTGCATTTTACAGATACGGAAGATGAAATACACTCTGTGACTTACCCAGGTCATACAGAAAGCCTGTGGTACATCCAGCAGTATAACTCTTCCTCCAGAACTCTCTCAAGAATAACAAGTCCTAACTCAGATGCTGGCAGATTTCACTCTCTCCAACACCATGGACATCCTGCTTTGCCCTGCCTTCTCTCCAAATCTCTATTACATTCAATCTGTCACTGTTTCTCACTTGCTGCTTTTCTCACCTGCTCATGTCTTCAGCAGAACTTCCCAACCGAGTTGGGCAAATTACGGCACCTATGGGCAGAGCCCAACTGGGGATAGCAGGTCATGTACTGCAGCAGTGCCATTGATGTGTTACTACCTAAAGAGGAGCAAGTTGAAAGCTTGGAGATGGAGGATGAAAGGGTGCAGTGCATGCTCCCTATAGAGCAGATCTCAAGGTCCTGTCTGGTTCCAGGAAAGTGGAACCATGCCCAGACTCCGACCCAACAACTTGTCCTCTCTGGTGATGCTATACACCCTGCACAGGGGAGCATAAATTATTGCTGTCTCATGAGCACAAGTGTCCTAGGGAAAGGGCAAAGAGGCTCCCTGTGCTACCTTCCACACAGAACACTCACCCAGAGGAAGCCATAATTTGTCCCCAAACTGATAGCCTACACCAGGGGTAATCAATAGGTAGACCATGGGCCAAATCCAGACCACCAGACATTTTTGAACAGACCCCAACATCTTTTTTAGTTATTATCATCATTATTAGTTGGAGTTTCTTATTATTTTCTCTAGAGTCTGGACCTTGACTATATCTTTACTAAGAAATTTGGACCTTGACAAAAAATAATTGACTACCCTGGCCTACACTGTAATTGGTAAGAGCCCTCTCATCCTAACCACCACTGTTCCCTGTCCTTCACCTCTAGTGGAGAAAAAGCTGCATATTCTTTTAGACTCAGGAATCTTTTGTTTTTCATGTTGCCTAGATCTATATATTTGCCTACTATCACCCCCAAAATACTGTCCTGTCCACAGCAGACACTATCTCAACCCCTTTGCTGAAGCTCTTATGCATGTCTTCCTTTCTTCTTAGCCTGAACTAGTGGAATGATTTCCCTTATGGATTTCTTCAGTCCATACTACTAATTCTTCTAACTTTGTTTTGTCCAAAATGTACCAGCTAATCACCTCATTTATACCATAAAATGGGAACACATTACCCAACCTTTAGTCCATTTCAGGAACCAGTACATTACCTCTCTCATAGACTTAAAGAATTTGCCCCTCCCACACCCAGCATCCCCCACCTCCCTTTCTGAAATTATCATTGTAATTCAGCCCATTCCACAGCCCATACCACTGTTTCCATTCACATTCAAAGACACATATCTGTCTCCTTTTGTCCCCATAATCCAGAACAGCTTCCCTATCTCGTTTTACCTATTTGAAGATTCCCTGATAGCTCATATCCATCTCTTCTCTTGATCTACAGCTCCTAACTCTAGAACAAAAATGAAATCCCCTCCAACTCTCACTTTTCCTGTGTTCAATCCATTATATAATTTCACCCACTTCTATTCACCTTTCCTCCTGAAACATTTCTTATTACCGCCTCCTTCTTCTCCCCCCAAAATACTGTTTTCTACATTGTTACAATTATTTGTTGTATTTACATAGACTGTAATTACCTGTGAACCTTGGAACTTTTCTCTGCCTTTCATCTTTTTTCTATATTATTATTTAAACAAGAGAATGTGGGAGAATTAAATTCCTCAAATTCCCAACAGCTGTGAGTCACTAAACCCGAGAAAGGAACTGACAAGCCTCATGAGAATTGATCCCATATGCATATGGATTAATATTCATTAGATTTGGCCAACTGAGATGAACCCGGATCCTTCTGACTATGAACATAAATAGCCTCAATATTTCATAAACTTTCAATGACACAGAAGTGTTTTTAATTTGCCAGAAGAACCTCTATTAATCCAGTAAATTTAATTTTAAATAAGAGGGGAGTTGGGCATATAACATTTTAATTTGCAGAATTAATTGTCCTATCAGAGTACAAGTAGACAGTATGTTCAGCCATTAGTACACTCACTCACTCTAGAGCAACAATATAAAGCAGAGCCAGCTTTCTAAACTGTGAGATCATAGTTTTAATAGCCACATGAACAAGTCATAAGATAGGGACTCTATCCAATACAGAGAGGATGCAGAACTACTCAAACTCCACCAGTCTAAATTACTGCAAAGGACCCACACCTTTACTCCTGCACCAAGTCCTGCTGAATTCAGTGGAACTTTGCATGGGAGAAACTCTCCAGCATGGTTGGGTCCCACTGTGTAGAACTTTAAAATCAATACAATCAGTTAAATGAAAGCCAAGGACTTACATGTTTAAAAGTGACTAGTGATTCTGGGTGCCTAAATTGAGATATTTTAAAGGATCCTGATTTTCAGCGATTGAATGCTCAGCACTTTCAGAAAATTAGGACCTTCTTAGATGCCTCAGTTTGAGCATCCAAAAAGTGGGCATCTAGTTATCTTCAAAATGGAGGCCAAGATATTTTACCTTGATCCAAGATAAAAGTCTAACGCCTGTATCAGTAGCAGGGTTCACTATAGCACTGCTCTAGGAATTGGCCAGCAGCCTCTTGAAATATATTTTTGGAGATTATTTTTAAAGGATGTGTCAAGAAAGGACATCATCTGTTTTACACACATTGCCTATAGCTAAATCTTTGTCATGAAAATATTGTATACCCTCAGCTAACATAAAGCAGAAAGTGAAATAACATTGTAAAGTAGATGTTAACATAGTCTATAAAGGAATAAAAAAGCATTTATTTTTGGAGTTAACTTGGTAATGAAGGAACAAATGCCATGTCTCAACCTCATTTCATTTCTAGCTTAAGGTTAATTATTTTATTGTCACTGTTCATCATAAGCAGCAGTACAACACTGGATGAATAATGGTAGGTATGCCTGCCTTTATTTAAAGGGAAACTTTACACTTTTTTATGATTTGTATGATATTTTCTTAGGCCAATGTACATGTGCCAGCAATGCCACTCTGGCAGGTACATTGGCTAAACCGGACAGTCTCTATGCAAAAGAATAAATGGACACAAATCTGACATCAGGAATCATAACATTCAAAAAACCAGTAGGAGAACACTTTAACCTGTCTGGTCACTCAATAACAGACCTGAGGGTGGCAATTTTGCAACAGAAAAGCTTCAAAAACAGACTCCAAGGAGAAACTGCTGAACTTGAATCGATATACAAACTAGATACAATCAATTTAGGCTTGAATAGAGACTGGGAATGGCTGAGCCATTACAAACATTGAATCTGTCTCCCCATGTAAGTATTCTCACACTTCTTATCAAACTGTCTGTACTGGGCTATCTTGATTATCACTTCAAAAGTTTTTTCTCTTACTTAATTGGCCTCTCAAAGTTGGTAAGACAACTCCCACCTTTTCATGCTCTCTGTATGTGTATATATATCTTCTCAATATGTGTTCCATTCTATGCATCTGAAGAAGTGGGCTGTAGCCCACGAAAGCTTATGCTCAAATAAATTTGTTAGTTTCTAAGGTGCCACAAATGGCTTTAATGTAAGTTCTATTTATTTAAAAATGGTTTATTATGGGCAATTACCTACATTTTCTATACATCATTTACTAGTAAACTACTGTGAAAGTCTGCAGCATCTCTTTTGAACTCTTTTAGGGTGAAATTTGCCTTTCTGCAGAGGGCCCATTGAGAACTATAAATCCCCTAAGACTTTTAAGACACTGACAGGGCCGGCTCTAGGCACCAGCTTAACAAGCAGGTGCTTGGGGCGGCCAAAGGAGAGGGGCGGCACGTGCAGCAATTCGGGGGCAGCAGGTCCCTCACTCCCTCTAGGAGTGAAGGACCTGGCACTGAACTTCCAATTGCCGCCGCCGATCGCGGCTTTCTGAAATCCTACTTAAGACCTATTTTGCCCTCAAAATAGGATTTCAGGGGTTCATAGACCTTTTGTGGGTCTTCTGCAGAGCAGTGAATTTCAATCTTGTTGATTAGCACTTCCTTTGTTACAAACTATCAGTGCTATAGTGGGCACCGCATTTCAAGAAAGATGTGGAGAAATTGGAGAGGGTCCAGAGAAGAGCAACAAGAATGATTAAAGGTCTTGAGAACAT